CTACTACTCTTGCTAAATAAACGCCTGGCTGTCATTGTATATATCACTCTTGTGGTAATATCGGAAGTGAAAGAGAGATAGAGGGGGGGGGGAGGGGGTCGTCATCAAAGTGGACGATGGACGGCGCCCTTCCCTTATTGCTATTCGGGGCCGATCACTTGCTTATTCTCTCTGTTGCAACCCCTTTGTAAATTATGAAAACAGCAGCAGCAGCAGCAGCGGCGGCGGCAGCAGCAGCAGCGGCAGCAGCAGCGTAGCTTCGGCGGCGCAGAGGAGGAAAAAAAGATACGGAAAGAATAATAGAAACGCAGTGGCAAAAGTCGTTGCTGCTGCTGCTGTTGGCGTTGCTGATGGCGTTTGTGCTCTGGAGAGGGAATAAACTTGTAAATGGCGCAAAGGATGAAGCAATAAACAGGCAGGGGGGGCCAGTCGGCAACAAATGACTTGCAGAACGCGGCGCGGAGGACGGGGAGCGAGTCTATGGTCATCGCTGCAGTAAAGGAGAGAAAAAGTGGTGGTGTGGGTGTGAGAGAGAGTGAGAGAGAGGAACAAACTTATAATAAAAATAAAAGGAGAGGGGAGAAGGCTCATTTGTAGCATGCAAATGGAGAGTAAGGGCCGCTGCCGCCTGTTCCCTGAAGCGCCGCCCCCGCGCCAACCGCCCTCCTGCTCCGCCCCCGCGCGCTGCGCCCGTGCCGTGGACCAAACTGCCCCTTCCATCCACCCCTGTCCTCCCACCTCCCCACTTGTAAATAATTTGGATCCGAATCATCTGGCCCGTTACCTCTGCTGCGAGGCGGTGTGCTGCTGCATGCCACTCGACATAAAGCACGTTGTGATGATCCTTGTCCTGTCCCCCCGCCGCTGCGATACGCGCGCGCGCTGTTGCCCAGAAAATGTCGTTTGTGTCGTCGTTTGTCGAGTGCAATGGAAATGGAAATGAACTTTCAGTCCCGTTGTACGTCACCGACTCTTTGTTGTCGTCGCAGCTTCTCGAGTACTCCCTGTTTCTATAAATCTTTAATATCAGACATCTTTTTTCGTGAAATTTATTTTTACATACTGCAGTATATTCGTTCTTTGCAACGAGGAGGCACAAGCTCGTGCACAGTGACAGTATTCAATTCGATTCAATCATTTTGTCTGAAATAGCATTTCTGAGAAACACAATATTGACTTGTGCTGATATTTAGCAATAAATTGAATCGATGCATACACGCTTCTTATATTAATTATGAAAAGAAATTTAACACGGGGGTAGAGTCCCACTCCCACTATGCTCTGGATGATTCGTCTTGAGATCCGCCTACACCGCCTACACCATTAAGCGACACTTCATGACTTCACGTTCTCTGGTTCCTGGATGAACTTAAAACGTCATTTTTTGGTTTCTGGATAAACTTTGAAACGTCATTTGTCGAAATGCCGCACTTCGACTTTGAGGGGGAAGCCGTTCTTCGGCGAGTGGAAAATCGTCTTCGTGTCGAGCTGGACCTCCCTCTCGTAGCGGGGCCCCGGCGAGAAGCGGAACGCCCGGACGAGGACCGCCAGGGCCAGCTGCATCTCGAGGAGGGCGAAGCGCTCGGCGATGCACGCGCGCGGGCCCTCGCCGAAGGGCAGGAAGGCGTAGGGGTGCCGCCGCTTCCGGTTCTCGGCCGTGTGCCGGTCCGGGTCAAAGCGGGCAGGCTCCGGGAAGATGTCCTCGTCCGTGTTGTTGACGCTGGCGACGACCAGGACCTCGCGACCCTCCTCGACGGTCAGGTCGCCCACGCGGGTGGTCGCGTTGCACCGACGCACGAGCACGTCCTGCGGCGACCAGAGCCGGAGGCCCTCCAGCACCACGCGCTTGACCAGGTCCATGCCCTGCAGCGCGTCGTACGACAGCTCGCCGGCGGCGTGCTCATCGCCGGCCACCCGCCGCACCTCGGCCGCCACCCGGTCCTGCAGCTCCTCGTCGCCGGCCAGCCTGTTGAGAGTGAAGCCGACCGTGTTCGCGAAGGTGTCGAGGCCGGCGGAGAAGAAGTTGAAGCCCTGCGCCGCCATCACCTCGGGCGTGAGCTCGATGTGGTGCTCCGGGTCGTCCGCGTCGGCCAGCTCGGCGGAGCGCGCCTGCAGCATGAGCTGGACGAAGTCCTTGCGCACCACCTTGTGCCGCTCGCGCTGCTCCACCGTGTCCTTCATCAGGTCGATGAAGAAGGTGTGCACGTCCGGGAAGATCCTCTTGAAGGGCAGGAGCGCGCCCAGCCTCGGGTGGATGGCGATGAGCGCGTGGCGGACCAGCCTGCGGAGCGTCTGCTGGAAGGGCCTCTTGGACATGGCGAGGAACTCGTTGTCGTGGTCGCGGAGCGTGTTGCACTGGATGCCGAAGGCGACCGAGCCGATCACGTCCGTGGCGAAGTGCGACAGCAGCCGGCCCATGTCGACCTCGTGCTGCGGGCTCCTCTCGGCCTCCAGGGCCGTCTGGCTGACGAGCTCCCGCGCGACGTCGAGCATCAGCGGCAGCATGCCCCTCACCTTGGCCGACGAGAAGGCGGGCGTCAGCCGGCTCCTGAGGTTCCGCCACCGCTGCCCGTCCATGTTGAACAGCGTCTGGCTCATCGGGTCCCCCCGGTCGGCGGGCGGCCCCCGGTCGTGGAAGCTGGCAAAGTCGGCGCTCAGCACCTGCCTGACCAGCTCGGGCTCCCACACGAGCAGCACGGGCTTGTGCCAGCGGAACGCGCCGCAGTAGCCCACGCCGCGGTGGGCGGCCGCCAGGCTGTTGGTGACCTGCAGGAAGTTGGCGCGGCCGCCCGCGACCGCGCCGTAGTTGCCGAAGGGGAAGCTGGGCTCGGCGCCCGGCACGCCGCGCCTCCGCCAGTGCGAGTAGCGCCTGCGGTAGAAGAGGTGCAGCAGGACGCCGGCGAGGAGGCACGCCGAGGCCAGCAGCAGCAGCACCGCGTCCATGGCCGCGGCCGGGCGTCCGCCGCGCGACTGCATGGCTGGTCGCTGTCGCTGCAGAGATAGTGCACACTCACTCCACCCCTTCATAGTCTGACATTTCGGTTTGGTATCTCGGTGATTATCCCAGTTATCTGCCGACCGCGATGTCACCACCACGCCAGATGCGTACACCAAGCCCCACGGCCCGATCATAAACAGAACCCTCTGGTATTATTACAACAACAACAACTCTATCGGCTAAAACCGACCACACGGAACAGAGAATGTGACGGAAAGCAAACTGTGTGCCGGTGTTTTCCGAGACGTTTTTCGGCGTTGTCGCAGTGATATGGGGGAGGGGGTGGGGGAGTTTGAGCTTGCCGTTGTTGTGGCTCTCTCCACCTGGCTAGCTCTGTGGCAGAGGGTCCAGCAGCTCGCAGGGCAGAGTCGTGTCGATATTCTCGCACCTGATTCAGCGGTGGGCGGGGTGAGTGGGGGGGGCAGCGCGTTGCGGCGGGGTCCATGGCGGCCAGGTTGCAGTGATACCGAGGGCACCGGGGGCAGGGGCCGGG